TTCCACCCTTTCTCCAAGTAGAATATTACAGCGTAGCTGCTACTTATCTACAGCAGTTTGTCTTTAGCTACAGTCTTCCACTCTGCCTGGGAGAAACAAGTAAATAAAGCCCATATTTCAAGCTTGATTTACTCTGATACCTACTGTGAAAGATTATGACTCTTTAGGGAAATAAAGACAGGGTCAGGGAATTAGTGTACATAATGGTCATTTTGATAATGGGCCAACAGATGCAACTGGAAACATACTGTACACAATTAAGCATAATGCACTAATGACAGGTTAGAGTTTTTATCGCCTCTTTGTGATTGAGCAGCAAATCCAAGTTTAGCAGTAATAAAGAGTTTATTGGTGCTAAAGCCAAAGATTTTCTGACATAGGAAAGATTTTTCCTTTCATAACAAGAGTATTAAATCCTTTGTTTACTAGGCTCTAGAAAAGAGATATGCAAAGTGGTTGTCAGATATTTCGTAGGAAAAAGCCAATTAAAGGGTAATAGAGTAAAGGATGAGAATTACCATTTGACTTCAAATGTCTTCTCTTCCCCTGTTCTCTCTTGCCTCCACCCCTATAATAGCATTATGCGCCCATGGACAGCTTCTGTTCCAAAGAACTACGTTTCCTTACTTCAGAATTGTAGATAATGATCCAAATCCTAGGTTTTTTACTCTTGAAAGTAGAGCAGGCTTGTCATATCTTAACAGTTCTGCATTTTGTATTATAGCAATATCTCATCTGTAGGCTTAATTGAACACGCTGACTTGCATACCTGAAATACAGATGCAAAGTGAAACAGAATTGTTGAAGTAAAACAAAATTGTGCCAACAGCGCACATGAAGTAGTCCGTCCTCTATCCTTTTTGAATCTGAAGTTGGGACCATCTTATTTAATGAAGGAGTAGAGGAGTGGAGTATTTGTTACTATGTATTTTAGTTAGTTTCCTTGCTGGTGACCCGAGCGCTTACGCTTTGTCAGTGTTGATTTCAGGTAGAGATCTGGGACACCCATACTCCATATTTTAAATAAAAAGAATAGAAAATTTACTTCCACAGACAAGTAAGCACTTGTACATTTCTGTTTGGGGTCTTATGGACTGTCAAAGATAGGCTTTGATAATGATGTTTCTAGGATGTAATAATTAGTTTTCTGCAATGAATATTTCTTTAGCCAAACGGTATTTGAATTGGACCAAACTAAATCCACCAGTTGTGCTGATAATACCAAGTATTTTCTTGCTTGGTTAGTGTTAAAATTCAAGTACAAAAGTCTAACTGGTCTATTTGCTACAACACCTCTTCTCAAAGAGGTTAAGAAGAGGTGAAAAGGATGAAAAGACACTTGCAGGGTTTTAAAAATCTTCTGTGGAAAAACCATCTTTCATATCACAAAAAAATTCTCCTGTAGGTTGTTATGTGCATAAGGTGGAGGCTTAAGAGCAGACACATTTGCTTTTACTAGCTTCTCTGAGACATGACATTTGTTCAGAAGATTAGCCAGGTTGTAATGTGTAGCATAATTGCACTGTGCGGATGTCCCAGAAGTGAAAACCTAATTGCTTGACAGGACTATAACTTTGTGGTACGCTCTCACCTTGTTAGGTCCTTTTCTGATGCAGTTCAAATGAAGTCTGGCCGCAGGTGTGCCTAATTTACCTCGCAACAGAACGTGTTGAGTTTAATTGCACAGTGGTTGTTAGGAAAAATTGGTGGGTGGAATATCAAGTGACTTACTGTACGCTGATGGCAGATGGGCGTTAAGAGGCATTGTGAGCTAAGTGTATAGGTGAGGTGAGTTAATAAAAGATGTAAATTTTATCTTAAAATAGTGAAGTCTTGTGGTAGGTAATACATTTTAATTAAGATGGTAGTAGTCCATTTCTAGCAGCATGAAAAAAATCAGAGAAAAGGGAAGTCACAAAGACTGTATTTTTCTCCATATCAGTATTTTAGGAACAGTTTGTATGTTTAGGGAGGCTATTCCACAAGACTGTACGTGTTTAAAAGACTGTATCTATGTGCATAATGCAAAATATAGCGCTGACAGGGAAATCTAGAGAAGCTTGCATTCTTATTCTGTTGATAGCAGCGAAGTTTGAGAAAGGATGAAACTGAACTGAAATCGAGTTTCTTACTTCTTACTATGTTGCAGAGGTTTTGTCCCAAGAATGCAGAACACCTGGAAGACAGTATCTCGTCCCAGTCTCTCTGCTGTAGGGATCAGTTCTTAGTGTACAAGACTCTTGTTGGTCAGCTGAGAGGAAAAGTCAAAGGAGTCCCCTTCTACTAGTGAACTTTGAGAAATGCCCTGCCTGGGAACGTGTTTTTTTAACATCTACTATTTGCCTCTGAAAGGCTTATCTTCATGCTACCCTTGCTCTGCAAACTATCTGAAAACACAGATGAAAGATATCATTAGCGTCAAGGAACACACGAAACTGAGAATATCAGTGTTGCTTGCGTTGCACCCCAGTGCTGTACCTTCTATATTTAACTCAGTGCTTGGGTTTATTCTGGTAAACTTGAAGATGTCTAATTCCACCAAGCTTGGGTTTTTTCACAAATAATTGAGTAAACACCAGATTCCGGTTGATCTGTACTAAAAGAGTGCTTAACGGCTGTTTTTTGACAGGATGTTTCTGTACAGAAACAATTTATCATGAACGCTTCAAGTTAAAAAAATCCGTGAGGAATAATACTTAGCATTCTTAGTGCACAATTCATTTGAGAATTTCAGAGCAATTTACAAACATTAACTCAATAAGCCTCACAACACCCATCTGAGATCAGAAAAAAGATGAGATACTCCTCTCCAGAGTGACTGCTCTGTGGCACTGAGGAGCTGTACAGCTGAAGGGTCTCCCCAGCTAGTGATTTTTCTAGAGTAAGAGGGTCCCTTACTGAGGTGGGAGTCAACTTCACTAGATCCTGTGCCTCTCCATTGCAGTCCATGTGGTAGAAAATGGGGATGAAAGAACAGAGATATGACAGAAATGCCATTACATTTAGATTATACTCAGTTGATGAATTAGTCCCTGGAGATCATATATCTTAAAAAAACCCCCAAGGCTGATAAAATTAGGATGGGAATGTGGCTAACAGAGGTGCAGGTTCAGTGTCATGGAATTGCAGATACTTTTGATAGTGTTTCTGCAACACTGTGTCTAGAAAACATGAGTTCAGTTGAACATCTGAGATAGATCTCATCAACCACCAGTGAAATCCAAACCTCTTACAGCTAAAAGGCTAAAAACCCTTTACAGCATTTCAGGATAGGAAGTTTTTAGAAAAACGTGCATTCTGCTGAACTATCAGCACTGATTTATTCATGCGCAATTTGAATAAACCTAGTTGTTTTCCTGCTTGTGGGTCTTATATGAGAGATGGCTCCTTCTGCAGTACAGCAAGCCTTATCCCATGTTTGGGCTTTGTTCAAGGTTTAACTGAAAAGGAAGAGTTGTCGTTAAAAGTGCCAGTTTGTAATATGTGAATATTCCTTGGGAGCGCTCCTGTCCAAATCCTTCCACATCCTGGGTTTCACAGAAGGGAGCACAATGTGATGCAGCTGCAGTCGTACTTTTTATCAGCTGCAGTTTGACCATATTGGGTTCTGAGGAAGGAAAGAATTACTTAGCTTGCCTCCTACCTGGAATATTATTTGCACATGAAAACTTTTGTAAAGCATAGCCAGCTAGAATGGTCATAGTCACTTATAAAGATTAGCATTAATAAATAATAACTGTTCGTATTCTAAATACAAAAGCCTAAAGCTCTGCCTAACCTTGTCACTCAAAATATGTAAAGTTGAGCAACAAACTCGTGGGCTGGCACATCTGAGAAACTCGGAGGGAGGAGAAAGCCCAGAGCCTTGCTTGTCATTAGCTACTAATCATTAGCCAAAAATCAGACCCACAGAACATTTTTGTTACTATAAAATGTGAAAGCATATCTACATAAAGAAAAGAGGAGGCGTTAGGCTAGGAACATCCATCCTTCTGTACTAGGGAAGGAATGTGCGGCTTCCCCCTGATGTCACATAGTCTGTTTACACATCAGTGCAGTTACAAAACTGTTCCTTTCTCCTCAGAGCAATTCTTGAAAACGAGGAATGAAGGAAAGAAAGTGGAACCATCCCCTCTCTGCTCATTCACCAGCAAGTACAGGAGGGTGGCATAAAGGAGACTGCATCTTTTGACGTTTTCCCCCTTCTATAAGTCCTTGCTGTGTTCCTCTGAGGCAGCACTACTACAAAAATGCCATGTTGTAGGAAAGTGCCTAGATGAGATGATTTAGTCCTAAATAATTGCCATTTGTCACTCAGCAAAAATAAGCTGGATTTCTTTAAGTTATGTAGAGTGACTCCTTACAGTTAGAGGCTAGTAAAGGTTAAAGTGGTCAGAAAATAGGATATAATTCTCCATGTTCCTCTCCTTTCGAAGACTGAATAAAAGGGGGCTTTCCTGGTGAGCAGATCCCCATGTGAATCTCACTGAAGTCAGCAGGAGTTGGATCTAGTCCCTTTGAGTAGCTAGAATTTCCAAACCAGAGGCAAAGCTGAGAGTTAAGAAGACTGATCATTCATTACCTTGGAATTTCTCGACAGAGAGGTCATTACTGCTAATACAAGTTGTGAAAAAAATAAAACTTATTAAGTAAATAGAGACAAATTCTCATCTGATGTAAGTCATTGCCTTTGAAGTCAGTGAGTCATTGAAATCAACTTCCCCACACCGATTTACAACAGCTAAGGACATGGCCTGGAGTCAATGCATTTACAGTTGTTGAGAAGTTAAAAATATAAATTTGCCTTTCTCTGGCAATAGTGTTCTGTTTATAACAGAGATCTTATGCTTTAAAACAAGTTCATTAACTAATAGGAAAGTAGTATTTCACAACCAGTATTCTTTTGGGTATAACTATTTATGATTAAATTTTATTAAACTTCTTTTAATTGGATTTACATTTTGATGAATCTAATAGATTTCAATTTTGTATTTTTATAGATTCTTTCTAAAGTTTTTCCTCAAGTGCAATCAGAACTGTTTGAAGAATGCAGGCAACCCACGAGATATGCGAAGATTCCAGGTACAGATAGTTCTTAAAGGATATATGAAAGACTTATTCGGAATTTCAAATTGCTTAGCTCTGAGCTTTTCTTCATGAAATCTAACGTCAGTGCTCCTACTTAGCATAGTTTCAATGCTGTATATTTTAAAAAAGTGATATCAATATTTTACATTTTCCCCAGTAACTTAAATGCATGTTCTTAGGACTTAAGAAGTTCAATAGTAGACTGTAGTGGGCTATTCTGAAGCAAGTGGGCATCTCCACAGATAGTATTTCCATAGTTTTCCTTCATACTAATTTCATTGTAGTGTTGAATATGCTGAGACCTGTAGAGAAGTTTTTAGACATGTAGTCTGAGTCTCATAAATTTACTATTAGACATTAGAAATACAGCCATGGAATTCAGGGAAGTTTGGGTCTTACACTGTAGTTTCCATAATCACACTTACAACTAGTAAATCCAGCAGTGGTGGTACAACCCACATATTTTTATTCCAATTGTTTTAGAAAATGTTTAATACTTCACTTTCTCCTTACAGCTTTTGAAATACCCTGTGGTGAATCATAACACTACAGAAAGACATCTGACGTGGTGGACAAATGATTTCCTCCGTATCTGGGGTCATTTGAAATGCTTATTAAGAAATATATACTTTTTATTTCAAATTATTTCAAAATGATTCGTATTTGATAAACTAGTATTGAGATGTTCAAAACTTTCTTATTTTTGAGAAGAATAACTTGTGGTTAAACTTGATAGCAAAACATGTGACATCTGTTTTCATGCACAGCCAACCAACCGGTGAAGCCAGAACACTTGAGCCAGCCAACAGAAAAGATCTGTAGCTGGAAAAAATATTTCTTCAAAACAATTGAGCCAAGCTTCCATTTTTCATGCATCTCAGCTTCACGTGGCATTGGTGATATTGATCCATCTGAACAGAACAGAAGGTCAAACCTGGAATGAGTGGAAATGTCCTCTTTGTCTCACCGATGACTAAATGAAGCATCAGTCATGAGTGATCTTGTGGTCGACAATGGAGCCAGTAGACACTAGAAAGACTTTCCTGGGTCTCTTTAGCTAATCTCCCTGCCTCTCAGAAGGTTTAACTGGACTTAACAGTATGTCAGATCTTGAACAATATTTTAAACTGATTTCACTATCTCAGCACCTTTCTTTAGGTGCACTGCAGGAATAAGCCACTATAACAAAACGTAGCATGTCTACTTTCTTTTGCTGAACTACAGTATTTTCCCTTGGTGACTGACCTATATATATATACATGACGGAACAAAAATAGTTGTCATTTTTATATACGCCTTTCCCTGTCTTTTCAATATACCATGTTCTAGGAACCAAAACCAGAAATCTTTTCTGAAAATCACGCTTGCATGTTTCGCAATATTTTTAAAGTCTGCAAATCTCATTAGAAGTGAAAGCAGATAGCCCAGCGGCATGGCAATAGCTCTGTAGCATGGGTGAGTTTGCAACCTCAGCACTCTCCAAAGTGGATGTTGACAAGAGTGAAAGTGTCCACTTCTGGGACGAGAAAGATGCGGAAGCAGAGCAGACTTCTGGAGAACTGCCCTCAGGCTGTTCTAAAGGGTAGCGCAGATGGCTGTCTCAAAGGAGGCAGAATACACAGAAAAGGTGCTGTGATAGCTGAAAGCTAATTATGGGTTGTGAATAAGAAACAGGATCAGAGGTGATCCAAAACATAGAAACAGACAAGAATTTTCTTCTGATGCCTTGGACTAGCAAAAGGAGAATAGTTTTTCCCTTCATTTTTTTTCCTCACGTGTTTGGGTATAGGAACTCAGAAAATCTTTTTTTGTTACATCCAAAAGTAAATTAAACACAAGATGAAAACTAAAATTTGTGCTAGCTTTTGCCACCATCACTAGTATGCTTGATAAGGCCTAATAGTCTAACTTAGCCATTGACTGTAAGAACTCTGCTAGTGTTAAACCACAAAGAAAATGCTACAGTGATTACTTCATTTAGAAAATCTGGAACCCACACCACAGGGGCCATGCTGGAGTATTTAAATAAGATGTAAATGTCTATCTGGGATAGTAACAATCAACCTATGAAGCTGTGTTACGCACAAACACACGCACATCTTACAGTTTCCTCTTTGGCTTGTGTTCATGGAATATCATTTCCGCAGTGAGTTTCACAAATCCATTGTGTAGGTGTTTTTATCAGGAAGGTTGTGCATTTTGCATATGTTCCTTTTCCATTTTCTACTAAGAAGCAGCTGGAAGCCAAAGAAGGCCCTATCCATCATCTCTCCTATGGCCGGACTCTGAACCTGGACACAAGAATAGGAGCCTTTCACTCAAAAATAAAGGAGGAAATTCCATTGACATACCAGGGTCAATCACCATCCAAATGAACTTGAGAAGGGATACTTTTCATGGATTGAAAACACTTTCACTATTCATATTCAACTCAGTCTTTTCAGATGCAAAAAAGTTCATTATCAGACATTAAATGTAATTGTAAAACTGACCTGGAGATCATTTACTGAAGAAAAAATGGGGAGTTACGATGGTTCCTGATTTATTAAGCTTTTTTTATTTGGAATCCTCACAACCCTTCATTTGAAGACAGTCTCAAGTGAACAAATTTTAATTAGATAAACTATCTAATCAATATATCAACAGATCAATCAAAACAGCAGCTTTTAAAATGAGTGGCTAGAGGGGTGTTTCTGAAACTAATGGCTAGAAGAATATTTCCCTGAATTGAATTCATTTGTTAGCATAATAGGAGATTAAAGTCTAATTAGTGTAGCCGGTTCTGAAGAGAAACAATTGTGAGTTAAAAATCACCAGTGTTAGCCACATAAACAAAGATGTATTCATAGTTGTCATTCACTTTATTTAAAGTGAAAAGTAACAGACTGTGAACTTGTTTGTCTAAAGAGAAGATCTATTTTTGTATCTACATTTCTGAAAATATGCAGGTTTTTTAAAAATTTTTTTTTCTTTTTTAGGTTGTTGTATCAACAACAGTCAATGTGGATGGCCACGTTCTGGCTGTCTCAGACAACATGTTTGTACACAACAATTCCAAACATGGAAGGCGGGCTCGCCGCCTTGACCCCTCAGAAGGTACGGCCCCTTCTTATCTGGAAAATGGTAGGCACACATTTACATGTCTTTTTTTATTTGCAATGCTTTTTTTGCACCATACTTTATGTTGATACACTACTACATTTACTTTTACATGATTTCATTCTTCATCGATCAAACCACCCATTAAAAAAGTCCATTAGTATTTCTCAGCCCTTGTCAACCAGAATATGGTCTCTTTTGAATTTGCTTTCTACTTCTTTCTTTATTTAATACTTAAAGTTTTGCAGTCACAACCAATTTTTCATCTTTTTCTATTTTTTTAGCCTTGTTTTGCTTGCAGCTTTTTCTTGCTATTTAATTTGACTTGATTTTATTTTGGCTTGTCATATTCCTTGATCCAGAGGTACAGTCTCAGGTTATGTATGCAAGTTTAAGTGGATGGTAAAAACATGACCAAATCTGTAAAGAATTTACTGTGAGGTCAATTTCCTGTTGCTGGGCCTTACTGCTGCAGATTGCAGCAGTAGGGTTTTTGTATGAGAAAAACAGCATAAAATGTTTTTCTTCAGACTGACTCAATGTGATTGACTTCTTGCCTGAACTGCTAAAAGAAGATAGTCTGAGAGGAAGACGAGAACGGAAAGTGTCTCTGAAAATCCAGAGTTCTGAAATACTATCTTTCTGGAGTCCATCAGCCTCTGAATCATTCTCACACAATTGCAGCTGTGCTCGTACATGTGCACACATATATTTATTCTCCCACAAAGCACATAGTAATTATTTAGGTTTAAACATTATTTTGTTCACACGGTAATGTGCGGTAACCTAAAGATGCATAATGAGCCTCAAGTAGTGCACTTTTAATAAAATTAAATGCATATAGGTCAAATACATTTTCAGTTCTTAAAGAGTTAGAATTTTCACAGAGACTGTAATTAGAAGTACAGTGTTTGAAACTGAGTATCTAAATGGTCAGTCCAAGCACATGAATTTCAAGGGGACTACTCTTGTGAGTTGTTACTAAGGTGTAAGCGTTGACAGGAGCATGCTTTTTTACACTAATACAATTAAACAATTAAAGTAATAACTGAATACTAAGCTGCTAATATAATCATTGTCATTTTATGTTTCAAATAATACTTTCCAGTGCACACACAGAAAAATGGATGGGGCAAACAATAATTATCAGAAGGCAATATGATCTAGATATCAAAAAATGGAAAACAATTTATGAATCTACTGCGATCCACACACAAAAAACTAATTTGTTTTTCTGCATTAATAACTAAGGTATAGGAGAACAAAAATATAATAATTAAAGGTCGCCCTGAGCACAAGAGTCATTATGGTCTATGACGTATTGTTTATCTCTTTCATATGCACTGAAAGTAGGTGTGTGTTTTGCCTAGCAACCGTCACTAATGAGGTTCACAATTAAGAAGGTTGAATCCTCTCCCCTAGTCCTCTTCTTCCCTAGAGAGAGAGAACTAGCAACATTATAGGTTCAAGTAAGCGTGCTCAGCCCTGTGGTGTTAGGTTTTAGTCTAGGTCCAAATTCAGCCTCTTCTAATGAGCTATTATGATCTTAGCAAAATGCAAGTATTTATTTTTGTAAGCTGTGTAAAAAAGAATTTGACTCTAAGCAGAAAATATCACTTAGAAAAATAAAGGCCACTTTTACATGCTACAGAAAATTTACATAAATTGTTACTAACCAATAGCTCCTTTTTGGGCTATGGTAATTGATTTGCTTTATTTAAATGTTAAAAATACAGTGCCAAGTCCTATTTGCCTAACCTCCCGTAACCACTGGTTGAAGTAAGCTGAACTGTTAAAAATGAATGTGAAAAAC